GTACAATATATTTATATAGAATAATTTGTTAAAAAATGGTGGAATAACATAAATTTTTACTATTTGCTAGATAGAAGGATTAAATGGACGATTACCTAATTTAGATCTTTTTAATTTGGCACAAAATATGATAACTAAAGAAGGAATTCGGCAATCGTTTCAAAGACGTTTTGATGTTAAATATAAAAACAAATTTAAAAATTGGTGGTATCATTTTAATACTCTTCTGATGATGATCACAAGTCAAGCTACTGGAATTCCAACAGGAAATCATGGATTATTCCATAGGTATTTAAAAAATAATAAATATAAAAAATCATAAAAAGATAAATTATTGTACTTTTTAATTAAAAAGATTATTAAAAAAGATTATTGCAATTTTAATTTATTAATTATATTTAATATTTTAATTATTATGACTTTTCTTAATAAAATTTATTTAATAATTTTTTTTGAATGGTTATTATAGATTTGGTATTGAAGCAATTACTTTAGAAGGTTTTGAAAAAGCTGGTCACCAAAGTTCTGATGGAAATTTTTATCAAGTTGGTCGTATTGTAGAAAGTATTATACGATCATTAAATAATTTGTTAGAACGTTTTCACCAATCTTATTTCTTTTATTTACTTCCATCAACTGATACTTATATTTCTATTGGTAAATAAACAATAATAATTATATAATAAAATAAAAATTTACACTGAAATTCTAATTTATCTTTGTTAATAAAAAATATTAGTAAGAAATTATTTAAAAATTTATAAATTACTTCAAAAATAGAAAATTTTTAAATAATTTTAAATAATAATTTTTTAGATGTAATTGTAAAAAATTTGTTATATATTTATTTAAAAATTATTTAAAAGCTTATTATATATTTAGTAAATGAAATATAAATAATTAACATTTAAAAAATATTTTAGGGCTTTATATAAGATCTTTAGTTTTAATTATTGCTGGAATATTTATAAAAGCTTTTTCAATGTGGCAAAGACTTCAAATATCTAATTCTGTAGAAGATAAAAAAATTCCTATTGTTAAGCAATCAAAGGTTTGTTTTTGTAATTATATTATTAATTTATATTTACAAAATTATATTAATATATATTTACAAAACTAATTATTTATTGAAAGTTGTATTATAAAGAAAAAAAAGAATAGAATAAAATAATTTATTAATAATAATGATAAGTATAGTTCAATACTCGTAATATTATGCTTTTATATTTCAATTTTTATAAATATATATTTTATAGGATGGATTAGATATTGGTGTTATTACATCAGAAATATTATGGGTTCATATTTGTGGAATTATGATTACAACATCCCCAGTTATATTTACTTATTTTGGCAGAGAAATGAATTTTCGTACAGAAGATTCTATATATTTTGGTTTCATGGCTATAACTATTTTAACATTAATATGGCCTTTGTATTGCAAACGGTAATTTTAATATTGATTAATTATTGTATATATATCATATTATATTTTGATAAATTTTTATTTTTAGACAAATGAAGTATAAAAATGCAGTTTTAATTTGTGTAATTGCATTAGTAGAATTAGGTACAATATTAATGTGTATAGCAATGCATAATTTTTCTCTAGCACTTCTTGTGGCTGTAATTTATGTACCTATTATTTTATCAATAACACCAAAACAAAACTTCACAAAGTAAGTAAGTTCTACCTTGAAAATAGTTTTTTGATTATATTAAAATTGTTTATTATTATTTTATATTTTTAATTATATTAATTATATAATTAATTATATATTTAATTATTTAATTAATTATATTTAATTATATTAATACTTATATTTTATTTAATTATTATAATAAAATTACTTTTATATATTTGTTG